GTAAAGAAAAAAAATAAGAAGCATAAACAAGAGATTAATATAAGAAAAACTTAAGCATTATAATAAAGAGAGAGCAAGCACATGATTTTGATATGAAAATCAAGATGTCTAAATGCATGGCAAATGCCTCTTTTTATATATCAAAATTAGAAACTATTAATTTATTAACTAATTATTGAGTGGATAACCACATCTTAACTTAATGACAATCCTTATCTTTTTGTCTAAACGAAATGTCATTGTTAACATCAGAATTTGGATAGACTTGAATCATGAAAGTTCTAGGAAATTGTCTCATCTTTCCAACAAAAAAAAAAAATTAAGGTCATTTGAATTTTTAGAACTCGAAATATAAGATGATCACTGAACAATATCTAAGTTATAGGACAGATTCAGATTTCTCTTTTGATGCTAAGATTTGGATTTCCAAACGACAAAATTGAGTTTTAATCATGAAAGTTTTAGACCTATATCTTAGCTTTCCATCCATATAGAGCAGACTTATATCCAAGTTCTACAACTCCAAATATGACCCATTGACTGAACAATGTTTCAGTTTAGACTGAACCAACATTTCTTTTCTAAGTTTAGCCCTCTCATTATCTTTTCACTTTCAATAGTTAAAACTCATCAATTAATCCCTTAATTTATATGATAGACTGGTATTTAAAATAAACATTTACCATAAATTAAAGGTATTTTATGGTATCAAACTTGTTATTATAAAATATGTTTTAGTTAAGAAGTTATTAATACTTCAAGTACAAAATAATGATATAAAACCTTGATAAAAATATATTTTTTAATACTAATCAGCAACATGATAAAATTCATTGAACTCCTTTATAGAAATCCAAAGCCTATCAAAATTGTCTGATAGGCGTCTAAGATATAAGTTACAAGAATTTGTAAAGATAACCACTCCATAATACAATAACTTGTCAAAAAAAAAACTTCTTGCTTCGTCAAGCATCCCAACTTCAATCAGGACTTGAAAGAAAATATCGAATACATGGGGGTCTGAACCCCATTCCTTGTAAGTGTATATTAACCGGTCAACAAAATGAGTGAATGAAACACCAAAATCCAAATTGGGTTTTGATGAACAAGTTGAGCGTCTAAAATAATTAACTTATATCTTATTTGTATTCTTATCTTGCTTATTTATGTTTCTTTCTTTCATTATGTTTAGTTAAGTTTATTATGTCAAGGTGAAAAGGTTATACCAATGATGTAAGAATAAATATAGTATAAACTCAACATGGACCTTAATGTTTCATACTAACATGTTTTGTATTTGTTATCTTATTCACTCTTAATACTTTACTTGTTAAATGGTTAATCTATATTTATGTTGTATAACCCTTGGTACAACAAATACTTGACACTTTTATAGCCCAATCGTATGGTATAACCAATAATTGTGCTATGAAAGGAATTTGACTTGTTGTTAACAATTGTGCTATGAAAGAAATTTGACTTGTTGTTAACTTAAATTATAATCATAAATACCTGACAATATTTACAAGTATTAGCATTATTTGAAAAAGATAACTAATGTAATCATGTTAACCATTTATAATTCGATTGGAACCTTTGATTAAGAAAAAGAGTTTATACTATACTTATTTGAAATACCATTAATGGATCCTCTCACCTTGACAATTACTTTATCTTTGTTTAATTTTTACATTAATCTTACATCTTAAAGCTCTTCAACTCATCATCATCATTATAGTTAACCTCCTTGTGATTCGACCCCGGTCTTGCCGGGTTATTTATTACTTCGACACTCCTACACTTGGAAAAAGACATCAATCTTTTGATTGTGTCAATCAGCCCAACATAAAGAAGATGGGCTGGTACCGACCCAACATGAAAAATGGGCCGACACCGACCTAATATGAAAAATAGGCCAACATCTCATTCATGATATATTTCAAATATTGATGTAATGATGATGTTTCCACCATAGCGACATGAATCCAAAGCCTTCCTAGCAATATACTATAGGACGGGTGGATATCCATAACTTAGAATGCAACTAAGAACATTTATGGTCCCACATACACCTCTACCTCTTAAGTCCCAATGATCTACCTAGGCAAGCCATCATATGTTCTTACCATCATAGTCTTGATCATAAAACCAAGATTAATGCATGGCAAATACCTCCTTTTATAGGCCAAAATTTAGAATTATTGATTTATTGACGAATTGTTGAATGGGTAGCAATATCTTGACTTGATGACAATCCTTATCTTCTGTCTAAATAAAACATCATTGCTAACATCATAATTTGAACAGATTGTCTCAAGAACATATTGTCCAATGAAAGTTGTAGAAAATTATCTCAACTTTCCAATGAAAAAGATGAGGTCATTTGGACTTCTAGAACTCGAGATATATGCTGAATAGTGTTTGAGCTGCTGGACAAATTTTGACTTCTTCATTATTACTACAATTTGAACTTAAAAACAACCTTTTTGAATCTTGCATTCCGCATAAAAAATTTTAGGCCTATATCTTAACTTTCTATTTATATAGAGTATACCCAAATTCATATTCTACAGCTCCAGATATGACGCAATGACTAAACAGTGTTATAATTTGGATTAAACTAACATCTATTTTCTAAGCTTAACTCTCTCTTTGTCTTTTTAATTTCAGTAGTTAAACTCATCAATTAATTCTTTTATTTATGTGATAGACCTGCATTTAGGATGAATATTTACCATAAATTAAAGATATCTTATATTATTAGATATGTTATTATAAAACGTGTTTTAGTTAAGAAGTTATTGATACTTCAAGTGCAAAATGATGATATAAAACCATGATAAAAATGCACTTTTAAGTACTAATGATACTGGCCTATTTTCTTTATATTGGGTCCTGCTGACCCATTCCAATTAAATATACCGTAACAATACAAATAAGGAATTAAAATACCCGATTTTTGTCAATTGAAAAAAAAAATTGTGTGCATACAACCAAGTATCTTGAAACTAAAAAAACATATCGTGTTTTCTTATCATGCATAAAAAAAATATTTCAGCATGCACAAAGCTTTTATAACCATTTTATTAAAGTTAAGAGAACATTAGTCAATATTTAAAAAAAAAATATTTTTGTTTGTTTTTAATAATTAAGAGAACATTAGTCAATATTTCAAAAAAAAATATTTTTGTTTGTTTTTAATACTAGGGATTACGAATTTCTACGTAAAATATATTTCTAGTATAAAAATATTTTCATTAGACTATAAAAATAATGTAGTTTACCTTAGATATGGTGTATTTTAGGCGTTAATACTTTTTCTTTATACAACTAGTCTTCATATCCCATCTCTGAGACTAGTTAGAGTTTCTAGTGACCAAAATATTAAGTACTGACTTCCAATTTATATTTTTCTGATAAAAAATAAAAATTCTTTATCTCTTTATATTTTATTTGATAAACATATATACTTATAATTTTTTAGGATAAATAATGTCGCGATACTACACTTGGATTCACATCTGTAATTCTAATACATCAGTATTTAAAATTAGTGGTGTTTTCTTTCTTTAACATCCATGTCTGTCCATTTTCATATGGGGTGCCAAAGCATCAGGCCATTTAGATTGGTAAGTAGTTTCAACTATTTCTGCCTTATCATTTTCATATTCTATTTCCGGATAAATATCAAACCTTTAAGCGTATATCCACCAAAAACAAAATCCTCTGTACTTCACAGGGGAGCTAAGCACACAAGAAAACCAAAGAGAACCAAGTTTAAGAGAACCACAAGAACAACACTGGGCAGTCATGAATCATGATCAAGACCACCAAAGTACATCATATTCAACCAATCCATAAGAAAGATTACAGAGAAAAAAAAAAAACCAAAACCAGAATGAGCCGAGATATTTCAGAATCATGAAAAAAAAAAAGAAAAAAAACTCAGTTTTCTTGGAACCCAGCAACCAAAAATCACTGCCACCTTCAACTACCAAACGCCAATTGAGTTTTCCCTGTATTTTTCCTTTTGAAGCAATCAAGTGTTGTAAGACATGCATAATGCAATTATATTCGAATAGGTGCATGCCTATCTCTATATTTTTCTTTTTTTAAATATAATTTAAGTGTTCAAGAATTATTATATCAGATCAAATGTTATTCACATCTAATTCACAAGTTATACAAGTTAATTCATTAATCAATAAAAATAATGTTATTTTGAACTAAAATATAAAGAGTTAATTCATTAGTCAATAAAAATAATGTTATTTTGAACTAAATTAAATATAATTGAAGTGTTCAAGTGTTATAATCATTTTTTTAATATAATTGAAGTGTTCAAGTGTTATAAGACATGTTTCTTGGAATTGGCATGACAGCTTCATCAATCAGGTTGTGATTACCCTACCAAGTTTTTACCAAATCAAATTCCGTCAAAAAACCATCTAAAAATGGATACAACAGAAATTTGATGATTAAATACTCATTAAAAATTTCATGAAGAATGAAAATTAGATATTAATTAGGAACCAAAACAAAGCTCTTGATTATCTTCTTTGCTCTGTGCAATATTTTTGCCAAATTAAACTTAATCAATCGATCTTTTTATCCTTATTCTATCTCCATTGTTTTTCCGAAAGAAGAAATCCCAAACCATGAGGTACAAGAAACCCAGCACAGGCTAGCTCTTGCTTATCGAAACCCCTGGAACTGAGCGGGCTGGCCTCTCTGTTAATTTCTCCATTGCCTCGTGTATATAAAATCTTGATTCCCATGCCATGCATCATCTCACACTCATTTCTCAAACATGAGACTTCACAAGAAAAACAAACCTATTCAAGATCTAGACCAAAGCAATGTCAACTGATGAACTAGACCTAGAATCCAAAAGTGTTCAACTCTTATACCCAACATACACAAATGCATACAAAATCTTGGAAGAGATTGGTGGTGGAGGTGCTGGTGCCAGAATTCACAAAGGAATATGTGTCCACAAAGCAATATGTGTCCACAACCAGTGGAAGTCAAGTTTGGTTACAATCAAAATCATTGATCTTGAACAATCTCCAGCCGACTTGGTAAGGAGTAATGACTGTCTATGTTGATCTAAAAAATCTTGCATAAAATGCAAAGCAAAACTATTGCTTTTCTTTCTCAATTCTGTTCAAAAAACAATTCTCTATTGCTTCATCACAGAGCTCAAGTGCAGTTTCCATGTTCCCTTCTTCGTAGCTTATATCCACAAAAAGGTTGTATATTTCTGCATCAGCAGCCATCCCTTCTCTTCTCATCTCTTCAAATAGTTCTCTAGCCTCTGAAATCTTTTTCTTCTTGAAAAAACCCTTGATGATGGAATTGTAAGAACTAGCTGTGAGATTAAACCCCTTCTCAGCCATTTCTTTGTGCAAAAACCATGCTTCTTTCATATTCCTTGCTTTACAATGTCCTTTTATCAAAATATTATAGGTGTTGCTATCAGGCATTACTCCCCGTGCACACATTCCCTTATAAATCTCTGTAGCGCCACGCATATTATTTCTAATGCAGTGCTGCTTCATAAGAGAATTGTAGGTGGTGGTATTTGGCATTATACCCTTCTCCAACATCCATGCTAGTAGCCTCTCACCATCTTCCAGCATTCCTGACATACAAAACCCATTCATGAGCACATTGAATGTAACAACTGTGGGTTGAAGTCCTCTATCCAGCATTTCCCGCAGAAGCTCATGAGCCTTAACCATCTCCCCTGTCTTACAATAAGCATCCATTAACGTGGTAAAAGTAATGGTATCAGCATGCATGCCGGCCACCTCCATTTCTTCCATCAACTTTACTGCTTGCCTGATATTTCCTGATTTACAAAGGCCATTAACAAGTGAGTTATAAGTGCAGATATTCAATTGAAGACCCTTTCCGCACATTTCATGAAGGAGCTCGTTTGCTGTATCTACCTGTCCAAGCTTACAAAGGCCATCAGCAAGTGCAGTGTATGTGACAACATTTGGAGTCAGCCCACTTTGGACCATCTGGTTGTGAAGGGAAAAGGCCTTTTCCATCTCCCCTGACTTACAATAGCCATCAATAAGAGTTGTATATGTAACTTCATCTGGTTCCACTCCTCTGCTAAACATTTTGTTAAAGACCTTATCTGCTTCCATCATCTTTCCACATCTAAAAAGCCCACAAATAACAACAGTATATGCTATAAAATCAGGAACAATTCTCTGCTTCTCCATTTCATCAAACAACTTGTAAGCAGCTTGGATATTCCCTAACTTGCAGAAACCATCAATTAGAGTTGTGTAGACCACGGTGTCAGGAACTATTCTTTGGTTTATCATCTCCCTCAAGACCCTTTCAGCATCATCAACTTTACCACTCTTACACAGAAGAAGGATTATGCTGTTGTAGGTATACAAGTTTGGCTTCAGTCCCTTCATTTGCATTTCTTGGATGAGCTTCAGCACCTTTTGCAGCTCCCCACCAAGGCAATACCCATTGATTACAGTACTATAACTTACAACATCAGGAGCATCGCCTCTAAACTTCATTTGAATAAGCAAACAATGGGCTTCTTTAACTCTTCCTAACCGACAAAGAGAATTAATAATGATGTTGCATGATGCAGTATTCCAACAGACACCAACCTGAGGAAATTCATTGAATACCTTTATAGAAATCCAAAGCCTATCAAAATTGTCTGATAGGCGTGTGAGATATAGGTTACAAGAATCTGTAGAGATAACCACTCCATACTTCAATAACTTGTCAAAAAAACTTCTTGCTTCGTCAAGCATCCCAACTTCAATCAGGACTTGAAAGAAAATATCGAATACATGGGGGTCTGAACCCCATTCCTTGTAAGTGTATATTAACCGGTCAACAAAATGAGTGAATGAAACACCAAAATCCAAATTGGGTTTTGCCCAAAAATCACAAATAAGATCATGAGCCAATTTTAGATCCTTTGAAGCCACAGCAATCTGAACAATTATGCAACGGGCTTCAAGGTTTGGGTCTCTGCGCAGGCATGCCCAGTCAAAGAAATCTAAAGCCAATTTATAATCATGTCTGATGTTCATGAGAACCCAAATTAGGTGGTCAGACCTAAACTTGGACTCATACGGTTTTAGAATGTGCCAGAGGGGCTCAGAGTGACGCAACTTTATTGTATTTGAGATTTGATGAACAAGTTGAGCATCTAAAATGGCAGGCTTTTTTGGAGAATAATTGGGAAAAGGTCTGGTATTGGATGAAGAATGAAGACTTTGGCTCAAATATCTTCCAACAAGGAACGGTAAACGAATCGGAGAGAAACCCAAGCAGACATGACAAGAAAAGTGAGGAAAAGAATATCCCAAGAAAATAATGGCACACCTCCTCATGTCTATCAGAGAAACCCATCACAATAAAATTTGAAAATCTGCGGGTGACAGTACCTTGGCTTCCCTCCATGTAGAAAAAGCAGGACAAAGAGTGTTCATCACTCCATCACCTGCAAATTAGTAACTATCAACCACAACTTAAAACAAACAATCTGGGATGAGTTAATACTACTTGGTTTTTTGAGAAACTGTAACAATAACTTTTCCAATAATCATTACCATAAGAAAATTTTCTAGTTATGTTTGCAAGAAACCAACTAAAGAAAAAAAAATTAATAGCGATTCCACTCGTGCAAAAAATACTAAAAAGCAATGCACCTTCATTTAAGGCCTCAGTTTGTTTTGTTGGGAAAGGTTGAGCTCCTATATGTCTCATTTCGAAACCAATAAATATTGCTAAACTCCGGCAATGTTAACTACACACCAAAATAAAACCTTTATGCACTAAGCTAGGACTTCAATGAGCCAACAAGGACCAGCTTGAAACAAGTTTGGCATAAAAAAGACATACATTGGTTCCAACACCAAGCATTTTGTATCTGCATAATTTAAAACATCCAGCAGGTATGCCTTTACAACTCTAAAGAGTTTTTCAAAACGATTCCTTATAGGCATTCTATCGAACAGCTGGTGAACGATATAAAAAACCTCCAGCAAAACCAATATGCCAGGTGAGATGATATAAAAGCAAGCCCAGATGTCATTTCTTTCTTGTTTAATGTTTTACATCAGATAATTTCAAAGTTCTAATTCAATTAGAAACTCAAAAACAAAAAGAAAAAAAAACATTTTTTAGCGGAAACGCATAAACTAGGAAAGGTTAGATAGATAGATAAATACCTTGAAAGAAGAAAAGTAATGGTTTCGATACTTGCTTGAGCTATAACGCTTTCGCTATCGGAATACGTCAATATGCTTTGCCCTCCAAAAATCAACAACTGCGAGTATCATCACCATTTTTACATGTACATAACCGTGGACTTAGGAAAAGGATATGTTTGTCGCCCAAACAATCACGCATGTTACAACTGGATCCTACACTATCGATTATCTCAATCAAATTCTCCACCTCTTCAAATTTTGATCAATCAGTCTTGTCTACTGTACATTTAACGAAACGTTGTTATTTTATTATTGACTCAGGTTACCATACAACTCAATATCTCGAGCCTTTAGTTATGTCTGACCCGAGACGAATTTTGACAACTACATTACTTTATTTGTTTTTGTTTTTGTAAAGTATTTTTTAAAAATATTAAAAAAATATATCTTTTTAATTACTTCAAATTAATATTTTAATATGTTTTTATATTATTTTAATATGTTAATATTAAAAATAATTTTTTTAAAAAAAAATATTTTAATATATTTTTTAATAAAAAGTACTTTGAAAAGCAATTACAATTATATTTCCAAATAAACTTTAAATAGTTAAGTGATAAGCATATATGTTTACTTATTTAATTAAAAATTTTCAAATTTTATAATTATTTTATATATATATTAATTATTAAATATTTTAATTTGCATGGTTTTCACTCATTCATCAGGACAACTTTTTATATTAGATATCGGATCAGAATGAGTAATGTTTTTCCATATTTAATTGATGCAAAGAAAAATTAACATAAAAAATATCAGGTACAAAAACATAAAATTATATAAAAAGGGATCATGTGGAAACCTTGATTCAAATTTTTATTATTGAATATTTTTTCTTCAAGTATTTTATTCAAATACAAACTAAACAATCTTTTTATAATAATCTCGAGCCTCCATTGAATAAGAAAAAAAACCTCCTATACTAAATACAAAGAATATTAATACTATAAAAAATATGTTCTAAACTAAACAAAAATAAAAATAACCAAGAAAATAAATAATATACTTTAAAAATCCTTCTTATTAGTGGTGTAGATGGAAGGTTAAAGACAACAACAAACTAGAAACATATAATTTTTTATAAGCGAAAGGAACTGCAAATGTGAACCTCAAATTCTTTGGTTTATTCTCTTAAAATAGTAATATTGAAGTTCAATATCCTAGAAGATATACAAAGCCTTTTTGAGCCATCACTTTGATTTAGCATAATTATATATCCTTTTAGGTTTAAACCTATCTCATTAGTCCCTAAATGCATCTGCTAGATCATTCACATAATCTATCTAGGACAGATATTTATCTAGCTATAACAGACTCACATTTGACTGCTTAGAATCATTCATTATCACAAGTCTGACTACATCAATTAGTCTTCTAGTTTGGAAGAACTTGTCATCGAGTTCAAATTATTCTTGTCTCGGTCTCATGGATGTTCGATCTAGACTCTCTAACCTTTTCCCTTTTTTTGCTTTAAGTGTGTTACAATTTTAGATGTCAACTTCAATCACTTCATATTATATTTGCATAAGAAACATTAATTGATAAATGATTTCTCTTCTAGTAGCTTCTAGAGTAATGAATTGCAAATCTCAAACTTGTTTCATTATTATATATTACATTCATATAACCTTCAAATAAATCTACATTTGTGATAATAAAAAACTTGTAATCAAAATAATCAACATAGAATAAATCAACAATTTTTTTTGTTGAGCACCTTCCATATTCTCTTTACACATCTTTAATTATCAATTATGATATTATTAATGTCATTATAACTATTATTATTGTCATTATATATAATATTTTTATCAATATAATCATCATGAAAATAAATATCATAATCAGTGCAAAATATCAATCCAGATATATCTCATCATAAATAGGATCACTAAAATCTTTATGATACTCATCTTGATTAAGAAGTTACTTGTATCTTTAAAATGGTTCTCAAAATTGGTCATGGATTCGTAATCTCCCTTCTCACGTTCCTCTGATTTTTTTCTTCTTTATCTTTACCAATTGATGAGATGATTTTTCAACTTGCCTCTACATGTTTATTATTTTTAGACAAGAGGTTAATTTTTGTAACTTGTCTCTACATGTCTTTACCACCAGTTTCTAAACCCGTTTTCCCTAAGAAAAAACCATTTAATCCTTTACTATATGAGCATGTTGATTAGTACTTAAAAGTATAATTTTATCAAGGTTTTATATCATTATTTTGAACTTGAAGTATCAATAACTTCATAGTTAAAGCATGTTTTATAATAACATATTTAATAATATAAAATACCTTTAATTTATGGTAAATATTCATCTAAATGCAGGTTTATGACATAAATCAAGGGATTGATTAATGAGTTTAACTATTGAAATTGAGAAGACAAAGAGAGGGCTAAGCTTAGAAAAGATATGTTGATTCAGTACAAACTGGAACACCATTTGGTTATTGGATTGTAAGTTGTATATTGGATTACTATATTATTTATGTTCTTTTGTTAAAGGTAACAACCAAGGGAAAGGAATAGTATATAATTTGTAAAAAAAAAAATTAATGATAATAAAAACATAGAGAAGTTTGGTTTCGTAGCCTCCCTAACCTTGACAATTAAGCCCAAAGGGGTATTTTAATACCTAATACCCCTAAAGTCAACTAACTTGAGAGCTATTGGCCTAGTGCTTGTTATATGATTTAAGGAGAAAAGAACAAACATTGTACTATCTACATATCAGTATTTGTAACCCGAGTGTATTTGTAACCTGAGTAACTAAGCTCGAAGGGGTGTCTCAACACCTAATGTCCTAAGACCAACTGGTGTGGGAGTCATTAGCCTAAAACTCATTACATAAGTTAAAGATGCATTGTGTTTTAAGTTATATGTATATATATGTTAAAAAAAAGGAAAACAAATCCCAACTCAGGAAAGTTAACCCTAAACATTAGAATAAAATTTTATTTTCTTCCAAATAAAGCCTCATAACTATATGTTGATATATTAAGCATAAAAGGAAGGTTTATTAATATCTTGTTTAAGAGGTATGAACCAGATATATAAATTTAATGAGAGTTTGTTTATTTACATAGATTAATAAAAGTTGAATGATGAGTGCCTTGCTTTGTGGAACTTGCAAATTATTTTTCTATTTTAATGCTTTGATTATTAGGGACTAGTAATAAGCTGGTTGGGGTGTGTGATTAGTACTTAAAAGTGCATTTTTATCAAAGTTTTATATTATTATTTTGCAATTGAAGTATTAATAACTCCTTAACTAGAACATGTTTTATAATAACATATCTAATAATATAAGATACCTTTAATTAATGATAAATATTCATCTTAAATGCAGGCTTATCATATAAATTAAGAAATTGATTGATGAGTTTAATTACTGAGATTGAGAAGACAAAGAAAGGGTTTATCTTAGAAAAGAGATGTTGGTTCAGTCCAAACTGGAATACCATTCGGTTATTGGATCATAACTGGAGATGGGAATTTAGATTTAGATCTACTCTATATGGATGGAAAGCTAAGACATAGGCCTAAAACATTTATGAAGAGTCCAAGATTCAGAAAGGTCATTTTCAAGTTCAAATTGTAGCAACAATGAAGAAGTCCGAATCCGTCGTGCAGCTTAGACACTGCTCAGTGTTCAGCCCATATTTCGAGTTCTAGAAGTCCAAATACACTATTTTTTTTATGTTGAAAAGCAAAGATAATTTCCTAAAACTTTCATAAAGACAATTTGTTCAAATTCTAATGTTAGCAATGATGTATTGTTCAGAAAAGAAAATAAGGATTGTCACCAAGTCAAAATATGATCACCCACTCAATAATTAATCAAAAATCAATAGTTTAAAATTTTGGCCTATAAAAAGAGGCATTTATCATATATTTAGACATCTTGGTTTTCATATCAAGATCATATTCTTGGTCTCTTTTTTAATATTTTTGTAATGCTTAAGTTTTGCTTTTATTAATCTTTTGTTTCTACTTCTCATTTAATTTACTATACTTAGTTAACTTATATCATGTTTATATTTTTACATTGTTTATTAAAGTTTTTTTTCTTTGTTATGTTTAGCTAAATTTGTTATATCAAGGTGAAAATGTTGGACTAATGATGTTATGATAATAAGTATAATATAAATTTAACGTGAACTTAATGCTTATATCCTAAACAACTTGTTATTAACATGTCTTATCATTTATATCTTATTAATTCTTAATACATTGCTTGTTAAATGGTTAATCTAGATTTGTTTTGTATAACATTTAGTATAATAAATGCTTGTTACTTTCATAGTCAACCATATGGTATAACCTACACATGTGCTATAAAAGGAACTTGATTTGTTGTTAACATAAGTTAGCATCATGAATTCCTAACAATATTTAAAAGTTTGGTGTTACTTAAATAAGATAATTAATATGATCATGTTAACAATTTATAATGAACTATTAATGACAAATCACCTGATTGGAATTTTTTTTGTGAGTGGTTTGAAGTTGAGTAATAAAAAGAGTTTATAATGCATTTATTTTTAATACCATTAGTGGATCCTCTAACCTTAACATTTATTTTTATCATTGTTTAATCCTCACATTAATCTTACAT